GGGGGCACCTTTGTAGTGACCTGTGTTGTCATTGCTATTGCTGCTGGTTCTCTTCTCACATGCCTATTCACGTAGGCTGCTGGCTCATAAGCCACATCCGCATCAGGCTCTTCCCAGTCGTCAATCCAATCCATGGCCGTTTGCCCACAAGCAAGTCTATGCCTAGGAAAGGAGCTCACCTGGGTCTTCCAGGATCACAGCTCCGCTACCACTGAAAGAGTGACTAGGGCGTACACGGTAGAGGTGCAGACCGCTAGTGTCTTTTATGCGCAGAGTCTTATCCTCTTGCTCTTTGAGCCTTGAGCAGTCAAGCATGGACACACTATATCAGCTGTTGGAGTGGAACCCTGTACAGGCAGGCTCTACTTTTCAGGGGGGGGGGGGGTGTGCATGATGAATTCATCCGGCCTGTGAATACTTAGCAGCGCAGGCATGTGAATACTTAGCCGGCAAGTATGCTCAGGCTAGCGAGTTTGAGTTCTTCAGTCTCCGAAATCTGATGTATTCGAAAGTAACCGTTTTTGGGCCCGGCGGCCAGTGCATCGGTTGATTCAGTGGGGGTGTCGGCGACTGCCAGTGAGGGTCCAATGAGCGGTGGTGCTTTGGGGTGGTTGCTTTCCCATGTAAAAACGGCGCCCCTGTGACGGGGATCACACTCAGCACCCGAGTGGGACGGCTGAGCGAAACACACTCTGACACTTGTATTCAGTGAACTCAGTTACCACGTTGGGAAGGAAGGTGACAGAACTGCATGGTGAAGAGTCCGAAAGACTTGTAGGTGTTTCAACAAGTTGTTGGTCAAGTCTGCTGAACGATCGGTCGGCGCGGCTCAGCTGCAAGACAAACGCGGCAAAGGGAAGGTTTTGGGGAAGTATCATGAAGAACCATGAACCAAAAACGTGGAAAGTGGAGTCACAGCTTGTGGAGAAATCGGCAGGTACACACCAAAGCGTCCTTTGGTGCTTCCCCTGTCACATCCTAGCTTCGTTGGGCCAGGTTGGATGTGACAGGCCTGGCCCCCCTGCCTGATTGGAGTGGTCGAAGGAAACCCTTTGTCCAGGGGTGGACACACACACACACTCTGACATTGGTTTTCAGTTACACTCAGTTCCCACGTTGGGAAGGAAGGTGAGGGAACGGAAAGGTGCATGAGTCCGCAAAAAAACCGTATTGTTGAACAATGTTGGCATCTGCACTCGAAAACGATCTGACACTGAACGTCGGCTGCAAAGCGGCGCAAAGTAGCGGTGGGAAACCTGTTTGTGGGGAAGGTATCGTGAAAGAACCATGAATCAAACCGTGGAAAAGTAGGGTGACAGCTTGTCCAAAAGTTGAAGCAGGTACACATCAGGACGTCTGCTCCCGATGCATCACCAGAGGTTGTGGACGTCTTCGTTGGCAGTGATTCCACAAACTCTGTCACTGCCCCCTGCCTCATTGGTTGTAAAGGAAGTCAGTGGCATAGAACCCTTTGGTACAGGGGGTGACACACACACGGTGCCGCTTCGCGGCGCTCGTGTGAAACACCTCAATAGTCACCTAAAAAGCCTTAGAAACAAAAGAAAGGAAAGACTTAAAGAGCAGCGCTAAGAGGGCAAGAAGGAAAGGTAGGTGTAGAAAAAGTGAATACTCAGCCCTTGACTGGGGTAGGGAAACGAGCCTCAAGAGCAACCTAAAAAGCCTGAGAGAAAGCCCAACAAACGACGAAAAGCGCAAGAAAGAAAGCGGGGGGCAGGGAGGGGGTGTATGTTCATGTGTGTGTACATGTGTGTGTCTGAATACCTAGCACTCTAGAGTTACTGATTACTTAGCAGAAATGAATTAAATGCAATAGTTAGGGAGCGGGACTTTAGTCTTAGACCGCCCGGGTAGGATAGACTAGAACAGGGACAACAAAGGGAAAGGCACCGACACACAAGTGTGTCGAGTACCATTTCCCTGTGTTACCCTAAATAGGTCGGGATAAGAACGCGGTGGGGGGGGGGTTGGGAGACCTGCCTGAAGGGGGATGAATGCCGTTTTTAAGCCCGGCGGCTGGTCAAATCCCGTTTTTTGGCCCGGCGGCCGTGGAAGCAGTAAATTCAGTTAAGGTTGATCAAATGGTGAATTCCTGTGAAAGGTGGAAAGCTCAGTTACACGATTTCCGGCATGAATTCCGCGACCCAGTGACGGGGATCACACTCAGCACCCGAGTGGGACGGCTGAGCGAAACACACTCTGACATTGTTTTTCAGTTACACTCAGTTCCCACGTTGGGAAGGAAGGTGAGGGAACGGATGAGTCCGCAAAAAACCGTATTGTTGAACAATGTTGGCATCTGCACTCGAAAACGATCTGACACTGAACGTCGGCTGCAAAGCGGCGCAAAGTAGCGGAGGGAAACCTGTTTGTGGGGAAGGTATCGTGAAAGAACCATGAATCAAACCGTGGAAAAGTAGGGTGACAGCTTGTCCAAAAGTTGAAGCAGGTACACATCAGGACGTCTCCCGATGCATCACCAGAGGTTGTGGACGTCTTCGTTGGCAGTGATTCCACAAACTCTGTCACTGCCCCCTGCCTCATTGGTTGTAAAGGAAGTCAGTGGCATAGAACCCTTTGGTACAGGGGGTGACACACACACACTCATACACACATGTAATTCTTGTAGGCTTGTTCATTTGCTCAGAGAATGAACTACTCCACCCCATAGTTTGCAGATGTCACATCAAAATCAGGCTTGGACCCATCAAACATGCAGCCGTCCAAGCTGCTCATTTCAGGTCAGGGATGACGCTATTGGGTTGGAGGTAATCCCTTGTAGGTTAGAGGCCCTCGCTATTAGGTTGAAGGCCATCGCTATTAAATAGAATGGATTGGATAACCATGCACGCAAAACACATGTTCGGAAACTCGTCTTCTGGAACTCAATCTGACCCTAGCGCCAGCCTTTGAAACCAATGTTTCTCGTGATTTATGTGCCCAAAACCCAATCCGTTGAGGTCCGGCAGTTGGGTTCCAGCAATCGGGTGCCGGGAGAGTGGCATGAAGACCTGGAGGTGGGCTCCGACTCCGCGGGGCCGCTCGTCAGCGGCCGTGCTGGTCTTGCGGGGGGTCGAACGCGACGCTTGATTGCACAACTCATTTAGGAAGCATTTGGGAGCGGTTCTGAAGCCGATATGTGTATACTGTATGCTTCTCATATCTTCTCATTACATTCTCTCATTTTACCCACCGTTCGGAAACTGATCGAGGTCCCCGCACTCGTTTCTCCGAATGTTTCTTTCGATTCTTTCGGAGTCTTTTTTTGGATGACTCTTTCAGAGGTCACCTACGGACCTAGAGAGCTTAAAGATTTATCAGTTGTTTCATGTTACTCATGTTGTTTTCTTTTTAAAATAGAGAGTCCCAGAGTCCCTGGGATTTCTGAGCCTGGAGGGGGATTCATTAGTTTCCACCCCAATCTTTGCGGAAGAGGCTAGAACTGGAACCTTTGGCGGGCCTATGGTGTTGTGAGCAGCGTAGAGAATCCCCACCCAATGGGCTGACAAACGTGCATGCGTTGCTATCATAGCTGAGCGCGTTCAGAAGGTGCTCGTGCTGGTCCTGCAACTGCAATTGAGAAACTAATTGTAGGGGGGTTTACGTCATCTGAATAGAAGTGAGTTTTATCCTAACTCAAAGGTGTTTGTTATTTTTCTGGCAGGAAGTCAAGGTACCCTGATTAATTTTATGTTATGTTTGCATCCACTGCTGGGATAGGTTTGGATTGGTCAAAACGTACCCCCAAAGTTTTGACCAACACATGAATCAAGGGCAACGGCCACAGGGTCATAAGGGAGGGTAAATCTTCCCCTATGTCATGTGCATTGGTTGGGTCTGTCCTATTACCTGTAACAGTTGGTAAAGAATTGTTATTTTAGAGAAAGGCATTTACTAACGTCCTCATCCACTGTTACTGGTAATGGGATAGATCCAATGCATTGTTCCATTTTATGAATCAAGTCTCAAATTTTGCAGAGTGGAACGTTATCCTTTGAGATGCAAGCATCAATTTAGCCCTGGAAACTCACATGTTTACGTCTGGGAGCCTGAACCGTGCCTGGTGTGGACTGTAGGCAACTCTTGTTAGAAGGCTGCAGGGCCTGTGAAACTGACAAGATGACTTCGCGTTCCAACAGAGCTGTTTCACCGTTTCAGTTGGATGGTCAGTCTTTTCCTCACTCAACAATGCCTTGTACGAACTCGTCGGACAGGGACCTCCCCTCGGTGGTTAACAAACTCGTCGACCGGCACGACCGTTCGCACCGGTCACGGTCAAAGCCCACCGCACACGGGGTCCACGAGCTCCTTCCAGCGCCGGTGTGGTGGTGAAAGCGAGCTCGGGCGAAGGTCGACGTGTCGTTCATCGTTCTTTTTTGCGCCTTCCTTCGGACATCCTGTGATGGTTGACGCAGGTCGTCGAACGCGAACCCGAAAACCTCGATGAGGACCGCCCTCGTTGAGTCGCCGGGGAACGCGAAGGGTCGGTCGACCGGACCGGAGTGGGACCGGACTGTTCTTCCGACAGGAATGGATTGGCTGGACTGGCCCGAGGACACAATTGCACAGCAGCAAAAGCATGCTAAAGCCGATGACCAATTCATGGTCGTTTGAGTGGTCGTGAAATACCACATGATGGCTGACAATGGCTGACACCTCCAAAAGCGGGGCCCCTTCAAAGGCGACGACCATGCTAATGCGGTTTTTGCGTGTGTTCAGCTTTGCATGTTGAAAGTGTATGGAAGTGTAGCTGTTGCCAGAACAGGGATAGGTCCCCTCTAGAACATCATGGGCTTTCAGCGCAAGCCCATGGTCTCACCACCCCCATGAAATGGTCTCAAATGGCAACAGTCTTTGTTTGCAGGGTCTATACTTTTGTTCGAATTGAGGTATTCTAGAGAGAAGGCGTGATGGCAGTCTATGTGAGGGTCCCTTCAAAAACATCGGGAAGTTCTATCAAACAAAGATTACGGTATGGGCCCATGCCAGTCGTATCCCCATGCCGTATCCACCTGGAAGCGCTTGGGCAGGACGTCTATGGTGCTGGGATCGCAGCACTGGTGAGGGACTCTTATAGCCTGGTGGAGGGCAAGGCCGCCAGATGAGTTGTAGATATTTTTGATCAGTTATGTCATCAGCCCTGCGGGTCTGAAAATAACGCTAACCAAGAATATCTAATATTTGCTGGATATATCTTGTATAATCCGTATAGTCTTGTATATAATATAATTCTACATCTCTTCACTAGTGTTTGAAGCTTAAGGAATGCATTTAAGGATTTGCAAACGTGTGAGAGACTGGGACGTCCCGGGCTTTGCATATATAGTTATATATAGTTGTATATACATATATATATATACATATGGAGTGACAGTGACCGTGGCATCTCACCACAGCAAGGGCCTGCGACTCACCATATGGGTGGTTTTCAAGAGTGAAGACGAGCCGCTTTCTCGCCGACCTCGCGTGGCTCACAGGGCGAGATGACCTTGCGTGTCTCGCGCCTGGCCAGTAGCTTCTTGCTAATGGCCTTCGCCATTTGGCAACAAAGACATCTGGGAGGGTGTGTAGCAGAGTGGGAGAACTGCATGTTGGAAGGGGGATAATCGATAGACTTTGGTTCGATTTCTCAGCATGTCCCAGCACTTAGATGACACTCAGGCAACAAACAGGTGGTTTTACATGGTCTTGCCCTGTGTTCCTTTTCGCTCTTGGGGCTACCTGGATGGTATGCCATGGTGTTGCTGGATCCGACCACCACCGACTCGCAGAGGACTCGAGTCGGGCCGAGTAGGCTCCGAACGTGGCCGATCTCAGGTCGTCTTCTTGCAGATCTTCTTGATCTCTCAGATGCAGGCTGGGTTCGGACAAGGTCGTGTCCACACCTGCCATGGGGAGGTTTTTGTTGTTGGACCTGTCATTTTACTTTAAAGGCGAGACTGACTTGCTTCATCGGAGAACCCCCAGGGAGTCGTTTGCCACGTGTCGTTTGCCAATTGGAAGTATCCAAGTGAGCGCAGGCAACTAGTGATACTTTTGTGACAACGAGGAAAGTCAAGTGGGACTTGTTTACAAGTAGGCCCCAATTCTAGTCTCATTTGGCAAGAACTACATTTGGACTTGAACTAGTCTTTGTGAGTATGCATTTTGAAACAAACTAAGCTTTGGAGTCCCCATGATCCAGTCACTTAGGGAGAGTGTGTCCGAGGCTTTGGTGGCCAGCCGGGCGGTCACGGAGATCCGACAGATCTACGGCCGGTGAGCTGCGGAAGTGTCGATGTTTGAGGGAGACGTCGCTGGTCGTTGGTTTCATGCGATTTCTTCTTGACAGATATTCACAGCACAACATGGTTTGTATACTGTAAACCAAATGCATGAATCAATATGACACAATCATACACGATTCAGACGTTCATGCCGTCATGAGGACTGCAGAACTTCCTTTGCTGAGGACGTTTTGAGGTATAACTCGCCAACGGTCGGGCCTTGGGTGGAAACCTATGGAGTGCCATGGTTGAGCCGAGGAATTCCAACACCGTGGCACGCGTGGCATACCCACACGGCCGACCTACCCTTGTCACCAACGATTGATGCTCATTGCCAGCCACAGAGTGGTGATTCCACCAACGTGCAGCAACCACGCAGAAAGACAAGAAAGGAACAGCTGACTTCAGATCCAGATCAGCTCCCTTACAAGCGTCCTTAGCCAAACAGTTCGTGCAGGAATCCGAGCAAGGATTGCTTGATGGTTGCTGAGGGACAGTTTGGTGATTGCTTCATGGTTGCCTACGGCCTACGATGAGAATTCTGGAGGATTGGACATTTCATGCAGTCTGTGTGCACCAAGTTGTAGACAACCTGGTGAAGAGACTGTCAAACACACAACATCACACAACCATTGTTTTCAGAGTGTTGTTTAATTTAGTTCAATCTTGTTTATGCACCCATGGGAGCGGGAGACCTGGGAGAACTGATGTCATCATGATCAGTTCATATCAGTTCTATCATCCCTCCATGAAGAGACCCAGCGTTGTCCACTTGAAGCTTTGTGTCAGATGGCAGTTCTGCCCCAGGTACGAATTCGTGATGTATGGTGCTGACGTCACTCACAACTACTTGACGCCCAACGGATTCCCTCGGGGCTTAGACAAGAGGTATTTTGATGCGACGCTGGGGCTGAAGGGAAAAGAGTTGAATGTGGCTCTCCGGCGGGCCTTGTGGCCTTGTGTGGCTCTCCATCCTCTCTGGGTTTGTATGCCTGGTATACCACGATGAGTTTTTTCTGCGATCTCCGGCCACCCCGACAAAAACACCGGCGAAAAGGAGCTCCATGGGTGTGAGTCAAAACCTGGACCCCCAAGAAAGGTCTTCGGTGCCCTTCCTTTTGATCCTTGAGAATTGAGTCGTTTCCAGTGCTTCCCCGGGATGGAGACCTGCCCTGAGGGCCAACTTCGCACGCTTGACGGACGACGAGAAGGATTTGGCATGCGCGGACCTCAGGCTTTGCTTCCACGGACCGAAAAGACCGACGTCGTGTCATTTGCTGGCCTTCCGTGCCCGTGGGCACTGCAGATCAGGTGCAATCCCCTTCTCGCAGTTGCAGATCTTGGTGCCGATCCTTTTCATTTGGCGCCTTGGAGGTGAAGAAGTTGCTGCCAGCAGTATTTTCCAGCAGGCATCCCCAAAAACAAGCCCCTCTATCCCTGCAAGCCCACTTGATCCTTCAGTGGTTTTCCGTTCTGTTGTATTTTTGTACTCAACATGAACAGTGCCTAAGAACGAGAACATTTAATAATGCTCTAATTCCGTGCTCTGGAACAGGTTCCTTCTCGTGTCGACACATGTTTGAAGCAACGACTGAGCTTATGCTCCTTGGTTGTTGCAGGCTTTGTTCCCTTGCCGAAATGTTTGGCGTCTTTGTCTCGCCCATGCATGTGTTGGTAAAGAGATGCAAAGATACTTTCTGACCAGGCATTATTATGTTCCCGTACAAGTACAACCTAGCAGTGTTCATTGCGTATTCATTGCTGGTTCCTTCTCTTCCAACTCTATCGAGTAGGTCCATTTGGCCAAGATTCGGACATTGAACGTTCTTTCTTGCCGTTGCTTGCCCTCCGTGAAGACCAGCTGACTTTCTGGATACAAGATGAAGCCGGTGTCATGAACCAATGAGAAGCTGTTTAGACCGGTGTAGACATGCCGCCGTGAGGGTTGCAAAACGCCGTGAGGACGCTGACCATTGTTGCAGACTTGCGCCGCTGTGGTGACCTCTTCGTGCGTTTGATCCTAGCGACGCCCACCATCACCAGCATGAAGGAGACATCGCGTCATGTCTGGACGTGGCATGTGTCGAACGCCATGACGAAACAAACCAAACCGCTTGCAGATTGGTCCATATCCCGCGGTTCGGCGACGTTGTGAAAGCCAAATTAGGGTGAGTTACTCTAGAGAAGCCTCTGAAAGTAAGACCACTGGCACCACTGTCGCACATCAACGCACACAGATGGCATCCGCAGTTACTGCTTGAGTGTAGTGGGTAACCAAATAAGATTCTACTTTTAGTTTTGGAAAGAGACACACGCAGAGACGTGCTTGCTTGTCAGCGCTAGGATTTTCCTTCATAGATACTTGTGGGACTTAGGACGTGTGAGGAGCTAATTAATCTCTGTTTCCGCAGCACAGCAGCTGTGAGGATGCGATTGTGGAAGGTGAGGGTGAATGCGAGATCCTTGGAACGATTTGAGCGGAAAGGGAACGGGATGGGCGCGGGACGGTTTTTCAAACGGCTCAGAAGCACAGGGACATCAATCTCTACTTGCTGTAAACACTGTAAAGGGTCATGCAAGCACTTCAAACCTACATTGATGATCTCAAATGCGATCCCCCTTTTCACTCCAACCGACCATTTCACCTGCCGCTCCAAGTGCCGATTTTTGAGCATGAAACTCTTGAAGAAAATTCCGTTCAAACAGACATGCGACTTTAGTGATAAAATTCGTCGCCTTTGGAGAGCTAACCGTGATTTTTCTGGGGTACAGGGCCCTTCTAGATATGCCGTTTGTGTAGATCAGTTGCTGCTTTTGCTTCGCGAGATACCGCGTGGTTAATTCATCGCTAGTTTCTTTCCGTGTTGTTAGTCAACAACACGACTACCCCACCCTTACCGCACCCGCCCAGAGGGCGTCCGGGACGCGTGCGCCGAACATGCTGCGGGCGTCCGATGCCCGAGTCTCCCTGGTAGGTTGACCTCCCAGGTCAACCCCACCGAATCTCGATCGTCTAAGGATCGTGGTGGGCCTCACGAAAGAGGTCAAAGCTTTGCTTGCATCCACATGCCGCTCAGGGCGAATTTGGAATCCAATCACATGGGGCGGGTTGGGTGTAGTTCGAAGAGAAGCTACATGGATGTCTCGTGGTAGTTTTTGTAGCTACCTTTTTTGCGATGGTACAATCCCTACCCCCTTACCCATGGAGTTGTACATATGATTACATATGTAATGATTATGATATATATATATATAACTTATAACATAAAAGTTCTGGCTAACACCAATGACAGAGTGTAGACGCAGGTATCACAGTATGAGCCTTATAATGATTGCCCCATACCTGAATACTGCCTCAACCTGTTACATGCCTCTCTGCCGAACATTTGAACATCAATGAACACTCCTTGGCGATGTTTTCTTCACCCAGGCATGATTCCTCGCTGGATCATCGATGTCTATCTTCTCTGGCTGGGCTGTCGCTGGCTTTGTGCCACCCCGAGCTTCTCGGATTTGCTCTTGAACTCGGCCCGAGGCCCCAGACGGTGTCGTGCCGAGCGAGCGAAGGACGTGCGGATGCAAGGTAGCGGTTGTTTCGAATGCGGATGCAGGTGCAAGGTCCGGTGGCGAATGTGAGAGTGTCGCAGAGTTTGTTGGGTTTTCTAAGAAGGTCCAGAATTAATATATGTAGATGACGAAACTAGCCAATGTTGAAAGCTTCAGAATCTCTTGGACAACACTGACAACACAAAACGAGCCAAATTTGTTCCGTGGAGCACCTCTCAGGTAGCATTGGAGTTCATCGTGCTGCTTAAGGACTGGGGGGGGGGGCCAGAATTTGTGGTACCAAGTGTTCTTCAGATTGAAAGGATGGGCCAAGTGGTCTTTTTTCGCGTGCACCCCCTTCTTGGAGCGTTCCGAGGCTCGGAGAAACTGCAATTCACACGTGCCAGGACACACTCTTCACAGGCTGGCAAACACGGTCTGGGCAAAGACGTGGTTGGCTGGAGACGGATGGAAAGCAGTTGAAGAACTTTCCAGTCCCTGGCATGATTGGACGGTCATCCATTGGGTGCCAAAAAAAGAAAGAGTAGTGGTGCCCATGATGGAACAAATCACATCCAAGATCAATAAAGCACCGCCCCTGACACGCTTTCTCCGACCGCGCCGCCGTTGACCACTGCGCCCGTCTTTCGAGGTGTGGTGCCCGACCGCCCGGAGGCTCAGAGTGCACCGAGCAGCGTGGAGGCATGATCAAGCATATCTGGTTTGATCAAGCCGAAAAGCTATTAATAAGAAGCTTCAGTTTCACAGATGTCTATAGGGCTCTAGGACATTCTAGGACTATATACAAGTCCAAAGGATGGAGTGAGTGGTGCAAGAGGTGTCACTTTAGTCAGCAGGAGATGAAATCAAGATATATTTTTTGTCAGCTTCAGGCAACAAGCGTGCCACGCAGAACACATTGATCCAGCCCTGGCAGAAGAAGGAGCCCGCCAACTATCGTCACACGTCGTTCAATGGTGCTCATGTGGCGGCGCCGGGCCACCTTAAGTCCCACCAACCACAATGTTTGTCGTGACTTTCGAGCAGTCTCCCAAAGACTCTCAACACGACGTGGTGCACTGCACACGATTGACCATTGGTACGCTGTGAAAACTGCTGTAATAGTAAGGGGACGATTGACCTCGTGCGATACCATGAGTTCAAGTCGTTCCGTCAAACTGTCCAACTGGACTAGAAGGATGATCTTCTGGATGGGTCTTAGAGTCTAAGAGCTTCCTACCAACGGAGTGTTTGCACCCAGAACATGTGCTTTATGCCCACCTGTGATTGGTACAGACCTGTGCTTCACGGCTGTTTTGGGGACGGGATGAATGCGGTGAAAAAGATGCAAAGATAAAGAGAACGAATCATGGAAAAGCAGAATCTGGTGATGGATCTCTGCTGTTGGGACACTTTCTTCGGCATCCTCATGCCACTTCTTTGGAGATAAGTTGCCCAGGTGTCTTCTTGTCGGCCTTCTTGTTGGTCTTAGTGACCTTCAGCTGGGTCTACTACTACATTTATCGCTTTCAGGCCGTTTTCGACGCCGTTTGGAGCTGTGGAGAGGGTTCTTTTGGGTCATTGCTGAGGGGATGGGTTGGTCTTTGAGGTCAGTGTCTAACTGTCATGTCCTTGGCATTTGTAGCAGCACTCTTTGACTCATGACCTAAACACCACAGTCATAGTCAAGAAGGAGTGCCCTCAAGGCGTAGGGGTTGAGGGTGACATTTGTACAGTGAGGCAGAACATCATAACCTTCTTGACAACTGTTCAAAGGTCTTGGCAGAGATTCCTTTTGTCACCGAGCTCTTTCTTGTTATAGAAAAGTAGTTGAGAGAGCATGCTTTTCAAACACTCTTAAACTCATCCTATGCTTTTGAGCCAGTTCTTGAATCCGACAGTTTCGGAAACTCTAAGCGTGCTCCCTTCATCCTCAGCAGCTTGCTCCCTTCCAACGCGCCACCGGACCATCTTTCTCGTTTTCAGCCAGGCAGTGCTGCCTGACTACCAGTGGGACATCCACGATGTGCGGACACTTGGGTGGTCCACTCGCTCCATCAAGTCAGTCGTGACGTGCGTTGCATCGTTGCTGCATGGCTCGAAACGGGAAACACTTGGCATGGATTCCATAGTTGGTATTCTCATGGGGTGTATTGGAACCTACCAGGACCATGCTGTTTGGGTGTCGTGGCTGGACTACCCTATATGCACTACTTAATATTTACGGACCAGACAGGATGGTGCAGAATGTGCAGAAGATGTTTGGCCTTTTCCGACGACTCTCAGCTTGGCTGATCTTATTGGCACAACCCAATGAATCAGAATGAACCCAGACACCAAAGGCCACAACCCCCGGATTTTTGGGGTGCCAGGTGTGCCAGCAGTATGTGGCCAGCACCACTTCGGGAAAAGCCAGGCGAATGGTGCGCGCAAGTTCTGGCCAACAAATGAAAGATGAGAGAAGCACAGCATGCACACAAGAAATGTAAGGACACCTTGGGCAGTATGTAGAACAATTATGAATAGTTACAATCTGACAAGTCCAGGTTTCAATCAGCCAGCATCGCACCCGATCAGCTAGCATGGGATTGGTTGAGGTGAAGAAAACTCAACAAGACCCGTTCCTGTCGCAGGTGAGTGACCTGTGAGCTGGCGTGGAAAAGTGTGAAAGCTGCAACATACTGCAAACTTGGCGGCGTGGGTGAAAAACTCATCCCCAAATGCATCCCCAAACATCCCAAAATCTTTTTTGGACCCGGAGCAATATGACTGCAATCTTTTGGAGGGAGACTAGAGTAGGGGCTTTTTGAAACAGTTTTGTTTTTCTGAACGGGGGTGCAGGGTCAATTTTGGGTGAGGGCAGGGAATTTCATGATTGGTGGACGTTTTGTTGGGCGGTGCACGATCACTGACTTCTACTTGCTTCACACTCTGACAATTGTATTCAGTTAACTCAATTCCCCGAGGAAAGGAATGGCTCAACGGTAAGGTGGAAAGTCAGCGCATGTTTCAACAAAATGGTTTTCATACTTGACTGCGGCGACAAGCTGCAAAAAAGCGCGGCTGCTGAAAGTGGCTGAGAAACCTGTTTGGGGGTGGTAGCATGAAGAGACATGGAAGCAACGAACAGCGGCAGGGTGGACCATTGGAGTCGGTGTGTTGAGAGCAGGTACAGGAAGGTGATCAGCCTTCCCTTCCCATCCATGACCGCAGCTTCGTTGCACACGGTAGGTCATGGATGCCGTGTGCCCCTGCTGGTGAAACAATTGGCAGTGGAAGTCAAGAAAGGAAACCCTTTGACCAGGGGGCGACACACACACAGGTCGCCGTCGTCGGCGCTTTTTCAAAAACCGGTGGCAGGCTTGGGGGCTGTGTCCTTTTTGGACATAGAGCCTCACTAGCTCGGCGGCAGCAACTTCAGCGCTGGAGGGTGGAAAGGTGTATTGGTGGATAGTGTGGAGTCTGGATTGAAGGCCTGACAGAGCCAAGCGCCGGCATCCCTGATTTTCCAGGGTTGGGAAGGTTGTATGTAGGTGATGGTGCGTTGCTGGAGGTCAATGTTGAACCCCAGTAGGTGAAAGTCATCGACAGGTTCCAGTTCCACTGGGTCCCCGAAGAAATGGTGGTGGACAAGGGTTTGAATGGCTGGGTGGCGGAGGAAGTGTTCATTGTGGACAATGAAGCGGTTGTCAACGTAACGGTAGTAAGCAAAGTGCAGGTCTGTGTGTTGCAAACGGTTGTTGTGGATCTGGTGCCAGGAGTGTTCAATGAGGGTGATGGCGACATTGCAGAGGGCTGGAGAGAGTTGGGAGCCAATCCCAGCTCCTCGTATCTGTTTGTAAGTGTTATTGCAAGCCCGGAAAATGCAGGTGTTGAGTGCATAAGCGACGATAGTGGTGATGTCGGAGGTCTGGATGGTGCGTTGTGTAGGGTGTTTTTGGTGGTGTCTGCCGATGTGGGAGTGGTGGAAAGGATTGCCGGTGGCTTGAACATCCACAGTGAGAGTGTGTGTGGATTGTTGTTGTTGCCAGTGTTGTATCATGGAGTGGATTGCATCGATCAGTCGGTAGTAAAGTGTGGGCGTCATCGCGTGGAGGGGAGTTGTTGCTGGTCATGTCTTTGGGATGCTGATCAGTCAAATAGTTCTGCACAAGTTATCGCTGCGGCGTGGCGATCGGCTGCACGGCAGCTGGCATGATCAGCGCAACAGCACGGAGACATGCAAGTGAATTACAAAGCACACGGGCCAAAATGCACATAAATTGAATTCAAGAATCAAATGCAACAAGAAAGAGTGGTAGTTCCCTTACAAACTCTTCGGCATGAAAGTGAGGTTGGCATGTGACACATGATTCATGCAAAATGAAACTTTGAAGCCGCTGCACAAACGCAAGTAGTGTTTTGCTGCTGGTGACGAAGTTGAGTGTGGTCAGGTGAAACAAAAGTTGGGAGTGGTGGTTGCGTGGTAGTGGACAGTGGAAAGGTCATGGATCCGGTGGAGTGGCGTTGATGGACCAGGCCAGTCCTTTGACGAGGGTCTGGGTGGATGACCCAGCATTTGCCTTTCTGGTGAAAGACAGCTCCGTGGTGCTCGTTCAGCAGGGTCATGGCATATTCCTCGCCGCCAGAGGTGTATTTGGTGGCGGCGCCCCATGCGAGAAGCGTGAGGATGAGGGAATGGGTGTTTTTGGCGAGTTGCCAGGTGTTGTGAATAATGCGGGCAAATTCGCCATGATCGTGGTTTTGGTCGTGGGTGATGCGTACGCCCTGGGCAAAGAAGCCAGGGTAGTTGGCAAAGTGGAGTGTGCTCGGGAGGAAGCGGCCTTGGCGTAGAATGTTTGTGATGTTGCCAACAGGGCCTGTGTGGCCAGCATTGATGTGCGCAACTTCCCTGTGGGTGGAAGTGGCACGTGTGGGGTGGGTGGCTTTGGTGTGGAGGAAAGGTAGTGAGATGGCGTGGTATTGGAAATGATCCCATTGTTGAGTGGTTTCATTCCACAGGACATAAGTGTATTGTCGAAAGTCGTTGAGCTCTTTGTATGTGATGTTGCTGTCAAACAGGAGATTGGCAAGGTATTGGTGTTGGGGGCGGTTGGAGGCATCGAGCTGGTCGGCATGGAAATCGAGCCAGGCGAGAATCTGCTCTTTTGGTGGTAGAGTTGAAAAAGTTGGTGAAGGTCGCCATCGGTTGGGTGGTCGACGGATCGTTGGTGGAAATCTGGAAGTGTCCGTGTTAGTGTTGTTTGCTGTGGAGGCATCGGTATTGGGGCGTAGATCAATGGGTTGCCTGGAGCGGCTGCGGGAATGTGTGGAGGAGTAGGAGTAAGTGGATGTGGTCGGCGAGCGATGTCGCCGAGAGGAAGTGTGATGTCTAGTGGATTTGGAGTGATGGCGATGTCGCCGGCGGCGGCGGTGTCTGTGCCGGCCACTTCTGTGATGGTCGCTGTTGCGCCGGCCTCGGTGGTGATGGCGGCGACTGCTGTGAGGTGGATGTGGAGATGGTGGCACGGGTGAAGCTGTGTTGTCTGGTATGTTAGTGATGGGTTCTGGGGCCACTGAGGCTGGTGGGGCCGATGCGATGGAAGGTGATGGAGAAGGTAGTGGAGAAGGTAGTGAAACGGTGGCAGTGGCTGGTTGATTGGGTGCTGGGGTGGCGGGATCCAGTGACTGGTGTGGTGGTGGAATCTGCGGTGAGTCACTGAGGGCCAATTGGGGTTGTGGTGGAGGTGAATGCACAGGTTGTGTAATCGGAGGAAAAGCTGAATAGGGCTGCCAGACCCCTTGTGGCATGTGCCATTGGGGTTCGCTTGTAGTGGTAGGTGAGAGCATTTGCTGAGGTGAGGGGGCAGGTTGAATAGGTGTGGCGGTGGCTTGATCTGGGGAGGGGGAGTGATGCAGTTGTTGCACAAGGTAAGACGGGGGGGGTGCTGGTGGTTGAAACGTGGGTTGTGGCAGTGTGAATTGTGGTTGAGCAGGGGTTACCATCGTCCATGTGTTGGGATTGCCATAAGGAGGGGCAACTGCCGGTGCTGAGTGACAGGGAAGTGGAGTGGGATTCGACATAGGTTGAGGAGCTGGAAATGTCTGATGTTGTGGTACAGGGTATGGTTGAGGTTGTGGGTAAGGAAATGCTGGTGTGGTATGTGGCTGTGGCAAGGGTGCTGTCGGTTGTGGCGGTGGTTGTGTTGATGGAACGGGTAGTGGAGGTGGTAGTATGGCTTGTGGATACGGCCCGGGGTACTGCATGATGTGTCCAGTAAAAGGTTGGTGAAGATCGTCACGGCTGTGCAGCAAAAGCTTCAAAATGGCGCGGCGCGGCAGCTGAAACTGCGAGTGTTGGAAACGTGTGAGTTAGAGGTCGTAATGCTTGTGTTGATGTTTATTCAGTGTAATTGTGAAGCAGTGAGGGTTGTCTTCCTGTAGAGTGTAGTAAGTGTTGGTGTGTTCATGCATATCGAATTAAACAGTTTGAAAATCAAGTCGGATCGCTTGAGTGCTTATGCTGAGAACAGGCGGAAAATTGCATCGAGATCTTGTACAAACGAAGCATGTTGAACATTGTTGAAAATTGTTGAAAATTTTCACAAACGAAGCATGCTGAAAACGGTCAAGTCCCGTGGTAAGGCCCGGCGGCCGTGGTAGCGGTTGATTCTGTGGGAGTGTAGGTGACTTCCAGTGGAGTTCCTGTGAAAGGTGGTGAGATCAGTTAGTGCTTGCACGATGAGACAGCGCCCCAATGACGGGGATCACACTCAGCACCCGAGTGGGACGGCTGAGCGAAACACACTCTGACAATTGTATTCAGTTAACTCAATTCCCCGAGGAAAGGAATGGCTTAACGGTAAGGTGGAAAGTCAGCGCAATTGTAGATGTTTCAACAAAATGGTTTTCATACTTGACTGCGGCGACAAGCTGCAAAAAAGCGCGGCTGCTGAAAGTGGCTGAGAAACCTGTTTGGGGGTGGTAGCATGAAGAGACATGGAAGCAACGAACAGCGGCAGGGTGGACCATTGGAGTCGGTGTGTTGAGAGCAGGTACAGGAAGGTGATCAGCCTTCCCTTCCCATCCATTGCACACGGTAGGTCATGGATGCCGTGTGCCCCTGCTGGTGAAACAATTGGCAGTGGAAGTCAAGAAAGGAAACCCTTTGACCAGGGGGCGACACACACACACACATTCGGGATAAAAGTTGGTACCTTCAGGTCGTCCGATGCCTACAAGAGGCGTATAAGTATAAGCTGAAAATTGCCGGAGAATGACAGGTTTCCAAAGGTTCCACATGGTTCCGCATGATCCCAAAACCAAAGCATCCAACAGGTTCCGCAAGATCCTAAATTAGTTGGTTCCGCAAGCCTCCTTTTGTATTATAGGTCAGCAAGACCAAATGATGGAACGCCTCCGCAATTGCTCATAGCGGTTGTGAAAAGGGAAGAGAACCAACACACAGGTCTGCCGACGAACTCTGCCTCCAGTTTACGAGCGAGACAAAAGAATCGCTCTGTAGTGCAGGAAAGCACGTGCACATCCATGGCCGCCTGGCCAGCAGCATTAGAGAGCTCTGTCTCCTATGATGCCAAGGGTTACACCCACAGTGCCAGAGGCTTGTCCAGGAGATTCCTGCATGCCCGTCAGACTCAACTGAGCAAGGGTCAAAACCCGCCTAATTGTGACATGAAAGAGCCTTGTCATAAGGCTTTCTCGCGTAAGCCAAAGACTGAGTCGCGTAAGCTCGCGTAAGCAGATTTTTCAGATCACATGTTGCGTAAGCATAGTCGAGAAAGTTGAAAACCATGTTTGGAATAGCTGTAGCCTTGATCAGGGAGATGTTGAGTTGCAGTCAAATGCATTTGTTCAAGAACCAATCTGTTGTTTATTTGCTGGTGGGCCTATCAAGATGCACTGGCCAAAGGTTCACTGGCCAAAGGGCAAGAGAGCATGGCCTATCAACCATCAATGTAGAGAGATGCACGATAATCCGCGTCAGCTGCGCGTAAGCTGCGCGTAAGCTCCGCGTAAGCCTACTTTGTGTTTGTGAGTACTTGCCCACAATGCCTCCGAAAGCAAAGCCTTTCTCTGAACTGCAATGGCGACAAAGACAGCGCGTCCTGCAAACTATTTCTGAAACCTTCCAAGCGCATTGCCCGTCAGTATCAGAAGCTGAAGCTCTTTTACATGGAATAGTTCGAAGCTCTTTTACATGTGCGAAGAGAAGACGGAAGATGACCCAGCAGCGCACCCCTCAGCCTGGTGATCAAGAACTTGATGCCTCTGATTCGTCTTCTTCCTCATCTTCTGCTGACTCGTCTGACAGTTCTTGAGCATAACTTCTGCTTGGAAAACAACTTGCGCGTAAGCTGCCGCTGTGGTGTGGTTAAAGTTTATGTTTCGCGTAAGAGCGCGTGAGCTTCAAATAAGTCCCTTTCCCACGCGTAAGATAAAACCTGGGGCGCGTAAGCATTGCGTAAGTGCATGCGTAAGCAAATCCTTACGACATAGGCCAATTACACGACCTTTTGACCGCCGCTCAACTGTTCTTGGTGCTCTTCCTGAGATGACTTGTGTGCCAGGGAGGAGCCTCTGACTTGATGGGACTCGACTGCCACCGACAAATTCAAAGTGTTGATCTCTTCAAACATCTTCAAACCTAGCATATCTACAGTATATTCCATCCTCTCATAGACTAGAGGATGACAAAGCGGGTTGAGCCTGACAAAATGTGACCATGTGTTTAAGTTAGGACTCATGTGATTGAACCTTTGCATGAACTTGTGGCCAAGTTGCTCGAAGTAGGGCAGAGAGACGGGGTGCAGAAGATTCTCATCAGTTCTTACGATCTTATGCGCTACCAGTGTTCAGTGTTACTACCCTAACATGCCAACCATTTCGATTCATTTTCATTGTCGATGTCTCAAGGTTTCAAGTTTCAACTGATGTGTGTTGCTCCTGTGACCTCTCTTTGACCCGTAGTGCATGGGACGGGCATGGTGCATCTCCAAAGAGGCGTTTCCATGGCATGTCGGACATCTCAGAAGCTAAGGGAAATTCTATGATGTTTCTTCAATCTTTTGCAGATGTAGCAGGACAATCCTTCTGCAACTCCCAAAGATCAATCTTTTGAGTGGTCGTCCGTATCTCGGCAGGGCGACCTCGCTCATGTGCTTCGTCTTGGTCCTGCAGGAGCGTCCGACTCTAGGGGACCGGCCCTGGACCCTCCACAGAGTTGGAGGAACGGTGAGCACCCGGATCTTCAATGGTTCGCATCACCCGAAGGTGTGGGGAACTCTCACACACTGTGGGAATCTGTAGGACCAGTCTGGCCCCGACTTGGAAATAGGAAGACACCCAAGTCCATCGCATTGGGTCATTGAACCAATTAGCAAGGCACAAATGATGCGCACGTATGGGAATTGATAGTTTCACCTCTTTGCGAGGCTGCGCTGTCGCTGTCAGCAGCGCACGAGCTCGCTGTGGTCCGGCCGTTTGCGAGCGTCCAAGAGGTCCAGGAGCAGAATTTGGGTCACAACTTGTCCTCGTGATGGAAACGTTGCATGGCGATGCTCGACATCTGGCTGTGGGTCAGGGCACCCGGAGCCATCCAGAGCCCGAATCCCTGGTAGGTTGACCTCCCAGTAGGTCACCTAAGATATCTTGGAGCCCAAATCCCTCTGAGCCGCTTCGACGGGCGATCGTGGACCCGCAGGACATGTCAACAGCTTTCCAGCTGTGGAACACCGTGGCCCCGTGTGGCGACAAAGCTTTTGCCGAATTTGACCTCTTTTTGGTGTGCCCCGAAGGAAGTGGGGGCGCAGGGCGCAGGGCGAAGGGCGCCCGACATGTTACAGATTTGTTCTCTCTTTTTTCAACGCTGGGCTTGTTGAATCCCAATGTCCAATTGTTTTGCACCAGACTTTGCACATCTTTGCTCGTTGAAGGCAAAAAGACTCGTGGTTTTCGCCGTTTGGATGGGACCGCTTCCCGGTCGAGAAAAAACGTGGTCCGCGCGCCGTGTTGGTGTTTGGTGGTGTCCATCCCAACCGGTGACAGCGATGTGTGGACACCTCCGGTGGCGCTCAGGTACAGTCGCCACCTGGCAGCAGCTGAAAGTCAACCGCGGGGTTTTGTGGGAAGACAGGAAAAGGCTGGACGTTTTCAAGCTAGGACATCGTGGTGCGGCGGTGATAGAACCCACTGACTAAGTCATTCTTCAGCAAGGAAGACCGAAGGTTTTCATGGCCCGACCACAGGGACACACACACGCACGGGAGTCCAATCTGAATCACTGTAGACGTCGGAAGTCTTTCTGATATAGGGGTTACAAAGCCCCCTTATAAAATCCAGGTGCCCATGGCCTTTGTAACCACTCTTTTCTGAGTTTTTTTTTGTTCGGCAAACAAGCAGGCCACTTGCAGGCCTGACACGTTTGGACAGGCCTCAAAGGATGGTGCAGGAAGACAAGTCTCACATTAGCAGACCACTATATATATATATACACAAGCATCTCAAAGCATATGGTTCTATTACCACCACCCCCTTACATTGTAAACTGGGGGCACCTCCTGTCATGTGTCACTCACAGTTTTCAGGTCCAAGCCCTGAAAAGAACATCATGCCTGTGACACAAAGGTCGTCGCAGGGTCCCCATGGGTCCCCTGGGGCGGTGATCTTCTTGGTCCCTGTTGGGCCGAACTCGAGGTCGTTTGGATGAGAATCCGGTCGCGCTCCGCGCGGCGGAGAAGATCCAGAATTCGTTCCAAAACAAGAGTGAACCCTGGCACAGGCAGGGCAGGGCGGCAGGGTGAGGTTGTGAATTTCAGGGTGTTGTGAAACCCATTGAGTGTGTTCAACAAATGTCCAATATTTTAAAGTCCACACACACCCACATGTTGTTTTGTGGAACTTGCTGTGCAAGAACAGGAAGAGTGGTTCCGGAGAGCTTACTGAGCTCACGAACCGTGTTGAAACCAGGGAATTGGCCATCTACTGAAAAGTCCAAAGCAGTCAACATTCCTTTGATGAGCAAGGGTGAACTCTATCCGTAGGGCTAACATGTACAATGACAAGTGCAATTTCTTGAGCCCTTTTGCCGTGGAAGGGGTGTCCTGCATGCAGCCGGTGTCGACGCCAGATGCTTCCGGCACTTCTACCTGGAAGCTGCCAACCTCACAGCTCAGGAGGACAGGTGGAGAGGATGATTGGATGGGTAGGATCTGGAAGACGTCGGTTTTCGGTCCAGGAGCTGCTGGCACCAATTCATTCAATATCATTCAATGTTCCAAAACGGACCCCACCCCATCCACCCTCACAACTTCTCAAACAACTAATCCTGTCACGACGTGTTTTCCAGACATGTTTAATCATATGTCTGGCTTCTCCTCCGCTTGATTCTTCGCTTCAAAATGGATCCTTCCACCCTATTCCGCCAAGCTGCCGGCCGACGCCGGATCCTCAGGACGTGTATGACTCCCGCGGCTATGCAGTGAGAAAGGATTGGGTGAACGGACCCAACAAAGTCTTTCGCTTCATTCTGCATAGCCCCCTGGCCTTCACGCAGTGAAAATGCTTGAAACCTGTTTCCATGCATTCTCATGCTGTTTCATGCAGTCTGTTCCTTTTGCGATACTCGAGGTTTCTTGGTGAAAGCATTCAGCTCCTCTGACTATGAAGCCTTTTTCTTCATGGACCCTTGGACACCCGAGACCGCGCCACGTGGGGCGCAGAGGAGACCACCGCGCCACGTGGGCCGCGCCGTCCTCCGCATCGCTCGTGGTTCGGCGCCGCCGTCCTCGTCGACTCGACTCGCCGCCCAGGAATTCGACTCGACGCCTGTTCGGCCCTTTTGGTTGGATCAGTTCTATGCGGAGGCGCGGGTGTGAACATGCACACAGAACGCACAAAATGACGATTTGATGAGCAACGTGTTCTTAAAGCGCCTACACGTTCTTTGCCACTGCATTTATGACATGCATACTGTTGCAGCATAGCCATGCCTGGACTGTAAAAACATGTAAAAACAGCTGAAGAGACCATGTTCCTCTCTCATTTGTAGGCGATGCCACCTCAGATTTCATGTGCACCGGCCGCGGTAGGGAAATCACAAAGTGTAAACTGAGTTGTAAACTGCTATTGTAGGTTGTAGGAAGTTCTTTAGCGAAATAGGATTATATATATATATATATTTATAAACTATCATAGACAAATTCATAGATACATTTTTTTTTGCACGCCTTTTCTGAGTGCTCATGATGCCGCGAACATTTGTCGCAAGTCTCTCGAAGTTGTGCTGTTGCACCTCTGGCGGAGCTTCGTTGTCATCACAAGCTGATCTTCAAAGATCTTCGATCTGCAATGGCACCTCGTGCACTCGACTGCCATGCCTTGTCGAGCCAGGGTGTGCGTGACATGTGCAGTGTTGAGGCTTGGTTCAAGTGGACCGCAATGACATGGTTCGCCGATGAATCGGTTGAAGGAGTCCTCATTGGTCCTGGCAAGAATGTAGCTCCGACATTCAGTACAGCGCAAGTAAGCACGATCCAACTGTAAGTGATGGATTCCTTTCTTTGGGCCTTGCTGCCCTGACACCAGCGCGTGGATCACCTCCATTCTGGTCATCTTGGGCTCAGCTTTGGGTGGGGCACTTTGACATGGCTTCTCATTGGCTTCTTTGAGCTCAGCAACTAAGCTCTTGCTATGGTATCTCAACTTGCATAGCCCACATTGAATGCCACTGCGGAAAGCCTGCCATTGGTGACCCGCCGTTGAAGGCTTGCTCAGCAAATCACCCAGGAGTTCTTTCTTCTGTTGGATGAGCGGGATTTTGTCCTTGATGGTCTCCTCTTTGCGGTGCATGAAGTGAGATTTCTCTTTGAGAAGAATGCTCATGCGTTTACCAGCACTGAGAAGAATTTCATGTGCATCGTCATCAACGTGGGACTGCAAATCAAGGATCTCTTTGGGCTCAAACAGCTTGCCAGTTTTGTTGGCTAACTTCTGAGTGTCTGCCTGTGTGACTCGTCTCATCTCGTTCTGGGCGAGCTCCTTGACGGAGAAGAGGAGGGGCCACACATGATCGAAATCTTCATACTCAAGACCTGTGAAGAGGTCAGGATAGGCTTCAAAGGCAGCATGCGGCTTCCAGGATTCCCAGACTCCAGCATCATACAGCGCAACCGGAGTCCGCTCGATCACATGCAAAGCCAAATGCTTCAAGGCATAGAACAAGGCTCGCTTTTTGGTGGCCGGAGCTGGGCAAATGCCAGTGATCGAAGCCACTTGCTTGCGGGAGGAGGTGAGGTGGGCGCAAATTGCAAAAGCAAATCTTTTGTGTCTCCTGTCTCCACAAGTGGGAGAAACTGCAATGGAGCAAATGTGGCTCTTGTCGAGTTTGAGATGCCCAAGGTCTTTCCAGAGCCCTGTGCCTTCTAGGGTGGCATGTCCTTCCTCTGGCTCATAGAAGATGCTTTGCACGAAGCCCCGTTGCCACAGCTCAGGATCTGTTCCAGCCTCCAGTCGGCTTTTCCACTCTGCAGACAGGTCCTTGACCCTGCCCTTCCAGAAACTGCAATGCCACAACATATGGAGGAAGGTGAGCTCCACACCACAAAGGGGACAATGTCCACAAACGCCGTGAAGTGTGCCTTGGTGGAAAGCCCTCAAACCGGTGGCCAACTGCTCACTCGTGGTCCTCTGGATATGATGACTGATCATCCAGTCCAACGGTCTTTCGATGTCGTTGCAGCCCTCATACCTCGTCAGACGAAGAAGTCGCTGCCAACGGAATTCTTGAAGGATCTGTTGGTTCAGCACAGGCCATGGATCTTCCAACGAGAGGCAGCAGTCGGGGATTCCCCCGTATCCCGATCTTTTCCATTGTCGTCCATCCGAGATGTCAAAGTCGAGATCCAGCATGTAGGCCTGGAGTGCTTGCAAAGGTCCAGACACAACTTGCCACCTGTAGCGAACTTTCTGAAGGGCCCCAAGGGCTGTGTTCCAGCTGGTCCAGAAAAGGTGCTGCTTGCTTTCGCTGAAGCTGTGCAAGACTTTCCAGACTGTGTGCAAGTGCTGGAGGATGATGGAATCCCCTGGGTCAGGTTGGTTGGGATGCATGTCAAAAACTACATCAGCTGACCCCGATCTTTGGAGTTTGAGGCCTCGCCCTGCTAGCACACGGAGTTGCTGTCATCGTTGAGGAGCGAGTCCGTTTGCTTGAGCTCCCCATGACATCACTGGATGCACCGCTCCTTTGTGGAGCCTGTATCGGATGCCCTTGGTCAAACGTAGACGATGGAGAATCCCCACTCTTCCCTTGCCTTTGAGGAAGCGTTTCTTGACCTGCTGCACCCTTCTCTTACGGCCCGCCGTTGAGTCCACTCCCAAATCCCGGAGGACGTCATAATGATCTGGATCTCCTTCTTGCAGAAGAGCTTTCAGTGCCCGGGCCGATTCTTTTGAGCTGGTGAGGAAGCCAGTCTTGTCTGTGTTCAACTTCAGCCCCGCTTCCTCAACCTGACGTTGTAGAGTCCTGAAGGCCCCCAAAGCTTCCCTTGCAGCAAAATCTGCATCTCTGCTGTGGATGTCAAAGCTCACATCATCAACCCATGTCTGCAGGGAGACCGCCGGATGGTCTTGAACCAAGGCCTTCAAGGGCTTGAAGAGAATCAGCTTGGAGATCGCTGGAGCTTGCGGACAGCCTTGCAGGATGCCCTTGTCATAGTGTTTGGGATCTCCATTGATTCCTTCTGCTTGAAGGGTGCGAGGACCTCGGTAAAGATCAAGTGCAAACTTGAGATGCAACGGAGGATAAGCTAGCTCTCTGGCCGGTTCGATGATCTGATCCAGGTCCACATGATCGTAGAAACATGTGAGATCAGCCAGGCAAGTCACGGTGTGGACTCCTTGGTGCTTGGAGATTTCTGCATGAAGCACGCGACCAATGGCTATGCTCAAGCAATCCCTACCAGGACGAGCTTGATCCCAAGGTAGCTGTTCATCCAGGGTCATTTGCCATCGTTGCAAGTCAGCTTTCCGGCAGCTACACCACAAGCGGTAAAGGCAGCTCGTGAGGGCAATGGGTCTCTCAACTTTGATATTCTTTGGGATGAGCACAATGTTGGTGGCCCGTAGTTGGATGGCTAGTTCGCCTTCCCTTTCCATCGCAGTGAGAAGGCCCGCAAGCTTTTCCACTGCTGGGTATGGCAAGTGCCTGAGGAAATCATAGGAGATGCCATCCGGTCCTGAAGCTTTGTTGGGCAGCCTTCTCATCAGTTGTTGAAGCTGGTAAGATTGAATGGGTGGAAGTAATTGAGCTTGATCAACAGCTGCTTGTTGAAGAAGGTCCCATTGGCGAAGTGGACGAGGGCCTGTCCTGGGAGTCCAAATGTTGCCCCACTGCTTCTCCCTGGCTTGATGTCTCTGTTCGGCTGGAAGATGTTGAAAAGGCCGCTGCCATGGAACATCTCGTTGTCTGAGAGTCCTGAACAGACCTCGAAGACCCTTCTGGTGGGCTTTTTCAAGCCAAACTCGATATTCCTCACTCATGGTGGAGAGGATGGCTTTGTGCGCCAGCTGCTCTTCTTCTGCAATGATTCTCCTGATCTCGAGAGGCTCATTTTCAGGGTTGTCAATCCAGTGTCGAACCAAAGCTTTGAAGAGATCTTGGCTCATCCCTTCGGAGGCATGCGTGTGCAAGGTGTCCATCATATTGAGGAGATCCTGTGCCACTTTAGAGCTTTGGCTGTGGTGCACCACATTGACTCGGACCTTCATCTTTTCCCAAAAGGCAACATGACCTTTCTTCCAGACCTGAGATCTCGTGTGATCAACCAGTGGAGCGTTGTATAAGCATATCTTGGAACCTCGTCCTTTCATCGGGTTGTGCAAGAGCTGTGTGAGGTACTTCTCAGTTTGGGTGGCCCACCTGGCGAGATCTGAACCCAGACCAGTGATAGCTTGGCCCATGATGTGGAAGGGGCCCTCATCTTCCCAAAAGCTGGTCCACATGGCAGGAAGTTGAAAGGTCTTCCCGATGGGAGGAAATCTCTGCAGTTGTTGGACAGGGACAGCTATGTGATCACACTGAAAGGTGATGGCCAAAGCACAGTGAGGTTTCCATGGCACGTCCCAATCCGCAGTAAGCGTGAGGCTGCTGGCCAGTTGCCTGGAGACCAACAGGTAATCCAACTGAGCCCCGTGAAGCGTAGTGCTGCATTGAGTGTCCAGAATCTGTGCCTTGAACTTGCTTTGGATGACGGTGGCCGCCAGAGCTTCCGGTTCATTTTGCCAATCCCCGCCAACGATGAAAGGAGCATTCAGGTGGCTCAGATACTGCAACAACTGTGCCAAAATCTCCGCATTGAGAGGTGACTGCAGGGTTTCTCCTGTGCGCAAGTAAAGCTGGATCAGGAAGATCATCACCCCTTGCCGTTGCAAACCAACTGACATCCATCCGTTGCCTTCCTTGATGAAGGAGTGATCCAGGTGAGTCAAGTGTCTGTTGCCATGCAAGACGAGGAAGCCGCCAGTGTTGCCTCCTCTGCCAGTGTCATGGGCGGGAATGCCATGACTCCTCCATCCTCTGGAGTTGAAGTATTGTTGTGCTGCTTCCATCTTCTTGGTTCCAAGGTGGGTCTCCTGTAGAAGGAGAATGTGTTCTCCCTTGGTCCAAATCCAGTCCTGAACCCGACTCCCGAAGAAGGTGACATTCCCGAAGATCAAGGAGAGCTCCTCAGAATGATGTTTGGCCTTCTTGGGTGCGCTGGGCTCCAAGGCTTCAACGGTGTCGGGAATGAGCTCTCCACTGTGATCATGTACCAGCCAGATCTGAACTACCTCTCGTCGGTGTTGTTCTGTGAGGCGCTCGATAGGTGTGGGATATCTGTCGTCATCCGCCCACCAGTAGGCATTGTCCAGGGCGTGGATGGCCACGTAATGTCCATTCTCATGGCCTTGGCCCAAGTGAAGGATCATGCTGACAACTTTGAAGTTGGCCATGTGGACATGGGAGCCGTCCTCTGTGAAGGGAATGTTGATGTTCGTGGGAATCTCAAGCTCCCTGTCATGTTTGGTCCACCTGCCTTCAACCTGAACCGATCTCTGGAGGTGGAGGATTAAAGCTCCAGGAGCTCCATAGAGAAACTGCCCCCCATCTTCATCTGCCCAATGGTTGACGATCTCATCCAGTGTGAGAATGCCATGACCTGGCGGGAAGATCATGTTCAGAGGCACCTGTTCCCTTTCCTCCTTTCTTCCATTCTGGTGAACATGGAAGAACTTGCCTCCAAAGAAAGTGCCTCTCGCAAAATGCCAAAGGTGCCCCACGAAGTCACCAACGTCCGCTTGACTGCCTTCTTGGAATTGCTGACACACTTGGGTCATCTGGGCCAGACCCTGCAAAGAAGCGGGATGGGAGTCTGACAGGAACTGCCGTACAGCTGTGTGGGTGCGCCCCCACGCCATGGATTGGTCCTCAGCATGTGCCCCGGACCAGCTCCAACAACGAAAGGCAGAGTTCCCAAAGCACATATTCTTGGGATTGGTGAGGATACTTGTCAAGGCTTGTGCAATCACATATGCGTTCGTGGGCAAGGAAGTGTGTTCTCCTTGAACCGAGAGATGCTTGTGAAGGACATTCTCAAGCCTCTTGAGATCGGCTAGAAATTGTTGACCTTTGGCCATCGACCAGTCTCGCTCATATTCAGAACAGGACCGCATAAGATCTTGCTTGCATAGGTCATAGAGGGCTTTTTGCCCTGGCGTCAAAATTGTATCTCCCATGGTGTGATCATCGTCCCCCATGAGATTCATCAAAAGTGAGGCTAGCCTGACTTGAGGAGTCCCGCGCACTGCAGTGCTCAGATGAGCCTGCACTGTGGTAGAAGAACTCGGTGCTCCTCCGTCAGGCTGTGCCTCCCCCAAAGGAAAAGCTGGTTGGTTGGCTCCTCCTCTCAGTTTGAAAAACCCAGACTCTTGCTTCCAGGGGCCATAGCTCCCCCTCGGACCCCTGGCTCTGCTCGAGCCTGTGGCTGCGAAGAAATCAAAGGAGTTGTCTAAAGCCCTGCAACTCATTTGAGAACCCCAAGTTGTCTGACCAAAAATGTCAGAGGCCCCGTTTGGCTCAAAGCCATGTGTCAAACCTCCAGGTGAAAGCTTCAAAGTGTTACCCACACAAAGCAGCTTCTCCTGGCACTGTGCGGCGTCGCTTGTTTTCTTCATCCACGCTCTCTGGGGTTGGCCTCTTCAGCATTGAGCTGAGCTGAGCCTTTTGATCTTCAGTGAGATTAACTCCCAAAGTGGAAATGAAGCCCTCAACAGCTGCAGGCACCGTGCCCTCCATTGGAACTCCCTCTTGTAGCTCCTCTGCCGGCTTGTTGGTGTTCACCATGGCCATGTAGGCTGTGCTCGTGGTGTTCAGGGCATTCTGCTCCGCTTCAAGCTTGGATTGGATGTTCTTCATTTCTTCAAGCATATCGCCGTAGGTCTTTTTGGCCATGTCGAGCTTGTTCTGCAGAACCTGCTTCCTGTGGCTGAGGTCTCGCAGGGTGGAGACCTGACCTTTCAGCTTCATGGCCATGTCCCTTTCCGTGGCAGGAGGTGGCTTGGTGATCTTCTCTACCAGAGCCTTGACTGCTGTTGGAAGTTGAGAGAGGTTTTCCTTCAGGACATCCGTGAGATCCGGCTCAGGATTCGGTTCCTGGGGCTTGATTCCCAACTGTTCCAACTGCTGTTGAAGCTTCGAGTCAAGGGTACTCCATGAGGTAGTGAGCAAGTCTGCCGTGGCTTTGAAGGTCTGTTGGACTTTGCCATTTTTCCCAGTCCCCAAACCTGGAGGAGGGGAAATGGGCTTTTGCCTTTGCTCCTGCTTCCGTGGGGACCTGGTTGGGGATCTCCTGGAAAAACCATAGGTGGGCTTCTGCCATTCCAAACCGCATTTCCGACAGACAAACCCTTCACAGATCTTGTCCTCCCACATCCAGTTGGAGCATGAAGAGCTCTGGCAGCATTGGTAGGAGCGTCCCCATCGCATGGCCCCGAGGTCAAACGTGTGGGTGACGTCACCGGCCTCTGACTCAAAAGCGAGGAGGTAGGAGTCGCGAAGTGCCCACCGGTGGCACCGCGTTGCTTGAGCCAGATGCTTGAGCCATTCATAGATACATGTATATATAGATATATATATATACATAGGTTGTGTATTGCTCGTGTGTTGTTTGACTTTGACACGATGGAGCTTGCAGCTTGCAGGTCTTCCACTACCCCAGCACTGCGATTCGTGGCAGTCGCTACCGGGGAGACTCCTGGGACAATTTTTTGCACGCCATCCCTGAGTCGTTTCTCGTTGGAACATGGGTTTACTGAGTGACATGAAGCCTCATGAGGGCTTCTACTCCTTCCTGTTTTGGATGGTTTCTTGAGAAGTTCTCTTGGCTCCGAGGTTGTTATACCATATCAATGGCAATGCCATTTACTTCTTGAAGCATCCCTGGCTGAGCTTTCTTGCACAGAAGCTTCAGGACAGCATGGGACAGCTGGTTTCGGGCCACGAGGTCTGAGTTCCGGAGTTCCAGGAGGTTTATTCTGTGCGGTGTGGGTGAGACTAACAAGTGTGTTTCTTTGCATCCAGATGCATCTAACACATTTTACTAGTGTGATCTAGTGTGATAGAGATGCAGCATCAGTTTGTGGGCATAAATACTCGGGCTTTGGACTTGCTGCCAGAACAGGCAACAGGCATCAACAGGCCATGTCCTACGTCAATGTTCCTATATATTTTCATCGACATGTTTTTCCTACTATGTACGGCCGGGACGGCCCAGGTACGTAGGCAGACCGGTTGTCATTTCCAGCTACGGCCCTGTCCGTCGTTGATGTTGCTTCCCAGTTACGGCGACGTGGAGAATCATCACTTGAACGAACCCAAAACAACCATTGCAGTCTCAAATCGACGGTATACGAACGGAACCAAAAGGGCGTCCTCGCGACGAACCCGAAAACGGAGCGAGGTCGGACGCCGGACGGACGCGACGTTCGGGGTGCTCCACGGCACTGTCGCTGAAAACGGTTGGACCTTGACTGCGGGTTTTGGTGGGCCAATGACTACCGGTTCACCATGGGATGTCAGGAGGAAGCAGATTCCGAAAATGCAAGCAGCTGGGTTGGTTGAAACAACCCGACCTGGGGGTGCAGTTCTTCCAACACCGAGCTGGCTGGGTTGACGAAGGGAACTCATTCTGATTGTGTTGGATTAGATTCAGTCATGGAGTCTTTGCCCTCTTGCTTGGCTGCGGAAGAATCATGATGTCAAGGAAAGAAGATGTGCCGATTTCAAGGAATGTAGGACAACGCCTGATGGGAACATCCTCTCGACAAGACTGGAGCCAGAGAAACATACAGAAACCCGACGTGGAATCACGGCGAGATGTTTCGGAGAGCAGAAGATTTGTGCGTGTTGAGCCAGAGTTTTTGGAGGTGTGTTGCGTCTTTCCTGAAGACAACACACCTCCATTGTGTGCTGGGTGTCCCAGCCAACCAAGGTGTGGCCTTTGATGTGCGCATGGCGCAGCTCACCTTGGATGCGCCCAATCGATCCTCACATGCAAAGAAGAGCGGAAGAATGAGAAGAATGGGAAGAATGAGAAGAATGGGAGCGGGAAGATTAGGTTTCTTGTATCAAAAATCAAATGGTCAATTGAACATTTTGCTGTGAGAGCGGCCTACTGCTGTGCTGCTGCTGCTGCTACTACTACTACTACTACTACTACTACTACTACTACGACTACGACTACTACTACGACTACTACTACTACTACTACGACTACTACTACCTACAACCTACAACCTACTATCTACTATCTACTATCTACTACTATCTACTACTATCTACTGGACTACTATCTACTACTAGCTACTACTACGACTACCACTACCACCACCACCACTACTGCTGCTACTACTACTGCTACTACTTATACTACATATACTACTACTACTACTACTCCTCCTGCTACTACTACTACTACTACTCCTGCTACTACTCCTGCTACTGCTACTACTACTACCACTACTACTACTACTACTACTACTACTACTACTAGTACTAGTACTAGTACTACTAGTACGACTAGTACTACTAGTACTACTAGCACTACTAGTACTACTAGCACTAGTACTGCTACCGCCACTGCTACCGCTACTGCTACGACTACTACAACTACTACGACTACTACTACGACGACTACTACGAGCACTAGCACCACTAGGACTAGCACCAGTACAAACACTACCACTACTGGTAAAAGTACTAGTTGGCTGGTTGTTTTCACGGGGGGTCAAAAAACAACGACGGGGCTGCAGATTTTGTTTCCACCCCCTGGTAGAGACAAAGGAAGAAGATATGTTGTAACGGGGCTGCAGTTTTTGTTTGTACCTTTTTGTTGTGTTTGTTGTTGTTGTTGTTGTTGTTGTTATTGTTGTTGTGTACAAGGAAAGCAGTCACACCGTCCTAGTGCGTTCAAACGATGTGGAAACCCAAGAGGTAGACTCCCGATCGCTTGCCCCGCCTGGGTCTCCTGAATTTGGATCCTGAGGGTCCAAGTGGGAGGTCTCCTTTTTTGAATCCAAAAAAATAGATGCTCATGGATTCATATCGGAGTTGATCTAGAATCGAAAGCGATGAATGATGAGCGGCCATTCCGTCATGAAAAACTATTGATCAAAGATGATCAAACACACATTAACCAAACACACAGACACACACACATATATATATATATATATGGTCAAAAAATATTTAAATGTACATAAATGTAACCCACATGTATACATATGCAGTATACTGTATATATACATGTCACATGTACATTTGGATGTCTCACTGGTCTGCTTCTTCGCCTCAGGAAGTGCTTCAGATTGGGAGAACTACGTGCCGCCAGGCCCGCTGAGCCGAAGGCTCAATGGTCCCCACGTTCTTGGCAGACGCGCCTGGTGGTTCCTTTTCGAACTTGGGTGAAAGTTGCCTGGCTGTATGCAGCTGCAGGAAATCATCGGAAGTGGAACACCTGGCGGTATGAATTGGTGTTTGTACAAAAACGCAACCTTTTGGACATTCCTTCTCGGCTTTGCTTGAACACAGGACAAGCATCTATTCACAAACACTGTAGCTTTCCAAAAGCTTAGTACCAAATTCAGAAGTTTATGCGTGAGAACCGTTTCCAAAAAGTTTTGACTGCTCGGAGTCTCATTGGATAGTAGATTGCTGTACCCAGATCTTTTACTCTCGAGCCAATGTTCCAGCCAGGACAGGATCCCTATCGAGATGATAGCTTGCTAGTGGGTGCCTTGATCCAAAAGAACCAGTGCTCGCTGCTCTCACTGTCGGACATTCGACCAGTCTTGTGAGGTGTCCATTGGCAGGAACCTCATTCAATGAGTCTTCTGCCGCCCGCTTCTCCAATCAAGACACCATAGTCCCTCAAACAGGGGCTGCGCGCTTCAACACGCCGATAGCTTTACGTCTCATGTTTGGGCACCATCGACCAGACACGATGAGATCCTCAGAAGGAGCACACACGAGAAGGAGACACGTGTTATTTTTTGTGAGAAGGAGACATGCGACCCCCCAGTGTTGTTCAAAACGCCAAAAGATGTAGTGCAAGAAACACGGAACCTACGGATCACTATGACCATCCATGACCCAGGAACAGTAGCATCCTGAGGTAACTACGCCAATACCTTGCTGAACACGAGCTTCACCGTGCCGGAGTTTGCGCCCAGGTTGCAGCATCGGTCATCGTGGGTGTCCTGCAGAAACCAACAAAGCAACAAAGCTAATAGAGCAACAGAAATGGTACGGTCTGGATCTGTATGAAGATAGGGAGGTCCCTCTTGGCCTACCTTGACCCTTAAATGGGGTCTTTGGGAGGCTACTTCCAACACGAGATACCATGGCGGGCAGCTGATGGTCTGTTGATGGTGTTTTTATGCGACCCATGAATACGTTTCCCATGTAATAAATTGGGTCTGTCCGAGTCCTACCGGTTTTCGCCGTCGGATGACGTACGCCGCTATCACTTATTTTAGAGAAAGGTTCTTTATATACCTGTTTTTACTCACCATCCTCCACTGGGCCAACCTCGTTGGGATAGACCCAAGGCCCATACACAGAATGCTGGACCTCCGGAGAGCTCGTGCTTTCTGAGCGAAGGAGCGAGCACAAGGGTGGCCAATGGCCAGGGGTGTGTGCGGTTTCATGCTGGATTCGCACCCTCTGCAACTTGCTGCACGCTCCAAAACCTGAACGAACTTGTTAACCTCTCTCACCTTTGAAACAGTATGAAGTGTGAAGTGCAAGCAAAGCGCGCTGCACCATCCCTGCTACCCTGAAGTACTCCACAAGCACACCATCACTCCTCTCTGCAACACTGGGCCGGGGCAAAGAGAGGTCTTTCCATTACCAAGTCACAAGGGGAACTCATTCGGAGATTGCGCAATGCATCATTCGGGGGCACTCTGACCCACTATGCAGATGTTCGAAATGGAGTTGGTGAACCCTGTCATCTCAAGGCATTCAAAGCTCCTCAGGTCCGGCATGGAGCATTGACGAACGTCCTGGAAAACTTGGATAGCTCATTGGTCACCTGGCAATTCGAGCCGGGGCGCTTTTTGGGGTTGCTGAGTTGCTGAGCCATGCGTACTCGTAGTAGCTGCCATTCGTATGAGGCCGCAATTAGACGTTTGTCCAATGTCGAGTTTGAAGAGATTGATCTTTTTGCATTCAGTTTACACGTGGATTCGGGAGTCTGGAAGTGAAGGACCTTCACATTTTTGTTGGGGGGTGTCCAAACTTACCTGTAGTAGAGCCGTCGGTAAACAAGCAAATCAATGCAAATCACTATTTTAGATTATGTTAGAGGAAGGCCTTTACTAACCCTCATCATCCACTGTTGCAGGGAATAGGATATACCCAATGACCCAATGTAAAAAAAAAAATGTATAGAATTATATAGATATTGACTACTGCATTGTTCTTCAAACACGTGGGAAGTCAAAAACACCTTATGACCTGAACTGCGCCTTTGCTCTAGACTAGATGCCCGCATTGGCCAATCTTTTTGGATGCCAAGGCTCGTAAGAATGAACTCTTTGAACACCAGCAAAGGGCCAATCCAAGCATCTGGAAGACTTCAACCCTCCGCCCTCCGTGCCACGAAATCTGAAGTTTCTCCAGCTTGATTCAGCTTGATTGTTGCATCATGATACATCAACATCGGTATACATTGGCAAGGTTGTCGTCTTTCAAGTGTTGGTGCAGGCCAAGCCGCTACTAAGGTGTCCTTGGCCGTTCAATCCTTTCACCTCGGCTCCAATGGCTCCTTGCTCTGGAAGAGTCTTACAGAGGCCTCGCACCCGTTTCGATCCTTGGTACAAGCCAAGCTGAGCGACGACAGACAGACATCCGTGATGCGGTTCTTCTTGTCCAGCTCAAGCAGCATGTGCGGTTTTGCACCTTGTCATGTTTTCTTTGCCTGGCCAGTGAGATTGACATATGCAACTTTTGGTCTAGGTGAGCGCAAAGAGCGTGTTGTGGTTGGCATTCTTGTGTCTAAAGTCTAAAGTCCAAATGAAATCCAATGAAATCAACACTTTACTTCGACATTGAAGTGCCTCTCAAAGCACTCACATGAAATCTCATGAATGGTCTCGCTTCGTGATTTCGTCGGCTTCTTTCGGTGCCGGACGCTGTCCGACGCTTTGCAACTCCGCGGGCGTTGCGTCATGAACGCGGACTGGCGCGAGTGTCGCGAAGCTGGGCATCCCAGGAGAAGTGGTGATTTTATCGGAGCAGGTCGAAGCACTGGAAGACCCTCCTTCCGGCCGCCCAGAAGCCGGAGGTTTGGGGAGGTGTTTGCAGGGATCCCTTGCTGCAGGTTTTCAACTCAATTTTCCGTCAATGTAAACATGTAATATAACTATATATATGATATAATATATGCATATATATATATATAATGTTATAATGGTATAATACGGTACGAATGATGCATCCAAAGATCAAGGCTTCGATTTCGCCTTGCCTGGACTTACCCTCGTGCACAGCGTTTTGAGCCAGAAAACGAGAATTTGCCAATGAAATTGCCACAGGATGCTTGTCGTGTCCACACTGTTGAAGATAGTGCTACTTATGTGGATCAAAATCCGGAGCCCTAAACCCTGGAGGGTTGACCGACCAGTCGTCTATTCTGTTCATTTTCCGTAGTCAAACAGGCTCTTCCGGTTTTGAGCATACATATACTCAAAAGCAAACACATTTTGAGCGCCTTCCAGCCATGTATTTGAGGCTTGGTGCTGCGGTGGCAGGTGCCCCAACAGCCCGAGTACATGGCATTTTGCGAGTTGGCGCAGATGGTCAACACGACCTACTTCGTGTAGCGTGGACAGAAAATCAAGCCACGGTTGTAGGGAAGGCCATGAAGCATGAACATCACTCAAGAGCTGAGAATTGCTGCGATCTTGGGACTCTGCTTGCGATTGTAGCTGCACTTGGTCGCTGTTGTTGCCACTTGTTTGGTTGCCACAGCAGAGGAGTCTAAGGCTTTGGTGGAGGGGTCGGAGTTATTAGATAAGTTGCGCCAATTCGGAGTCACGATATTTTGCTTTCCGTTTGGTTCTCTTTATGTATTGTAGGTGTAGTGTGTCTATGTTTTGCATTTGTGTTACAGTTTTTCCGGCAGTTGTTAGTTTCGTGGCGGCTGTCATGCTTGTGTTCCCGTTGCTACTGCCAAACATGTGGCGTTCCCTTCACTTTTGTGACTTTTCTACACTGGTTCGAGCCTTTTTAAACATTGGGATGCTGGCAGTGTTGTTTGACTAGGGTTGCATTTTAAGCACTTTTTTAATAACGCGTGGGTGTTGAGTGGATCCCGTTGGCCAAGGGGAACGGAAGCTGGCAGAAAATTCTACAATTTCACATGGCCACCAATGCGTCCCAGGTTTACTGACACCTATCACTTCATCCCTGGCCCAACGCACGTCTTGGTGACATGGAAATGGGATGGTGGGAGATGCCTCGAGGATCGTTCTTTTCTTGGTGATTCATGTTCTCCCCAACAAATTGCTGGAATCAACATGAACGTGCTCCGGGGGGCATCTACAAAGACGTGCCGCCCATTGCTCATCCTTTTAGCGAGCTTGATTGTGTTGTTCGAGGCAGTTGCCATAAGAGGTTCACCGGAACCATTGGTTTCTTCTATTCCTTTAGTGAATGCTGATGGTGCTGGAACCACTAAGACTACAGGTGGTAGGCATCATGAGTAGGCCTATTTTGCGCAGTTGGTGCACAGGTTTTGGTGCTTTCAGATAATTATTCCAGTTCAAGCCAGCCCCCAAGGTTCAACTCTTTCGCGGCAAAGGTTGTGTTGGAGCTTGTGGTGTGCGTTTTGGTTTGAAAGGGTGCAAAAGACAAACCAAGTCCCTCTCAGACTGCTTGGATCCGGACCGTCTCAGGTGAATGGATCGCGTTCGGTCTTGCCCTACATCCCGGCCACTTCCCCCCACTGCACCCACTATGACGAGTGCATGGCATCGTTGGACCAGGCCATGGCATCGTTGGACTCGCGTTGTTCGGGGACTGGGAAGTGGGTCGTCTGTGTTTGGTAGAAAGGTCCTCTGGATGCTCCGTGACTTGACACTGCCGGGTGACTTGACACTGCCAAGCCCGCGGCGACTGAACACGGCGGCGCTTGTATGTGATGATATGTGATGCTGGTCTCTTTCGTTCTTCACTTCTCTTCTGGACATTCAGATGCGTGTCTAGCATTGTCTAGCTATGGGTGTTGGAGGATGTGTTTGGTCTTGAAGGCCGAGAGCTTCTATGGGGTCCAGTTGAATTATCATCACAGCAAGTTCGAGACACTCTTCGAGACCAGCCTCGCCATGGAACCTTGGAAGCCGAAAAACACACCTAACTCGGCTGGGCTTGTCGGCTGGGCATGTTCTTCCCACTCTGGAGAAAGAAGAGCTTGCCGATTTGGTTTCAGACAGGTCTGAGAAATGCAACGTGTGACGATTTCCGAGGCAAAAGCCATGGGGTTAACTGTCTGGTAAAGCATGAAGAAGTGTTTTGGGGTTGCGACGCCACCGGACCAGGTGAAGGCGTCGGTCCAAAAGTCCACCAACACCGGCTCCTTTCAATATAATTTAGTTGTACCCCCTTAGGCTCCAAGGGGATCATTCTGAGTTATATCGTTTCCGTAGGATGCTGTAGGTCGGTGTTGGGGAGTTTTCCGTTCACACGAACAGTCGTTGACGCCTTCGACGCCGTTGTCGACCGATCCTGGGTGTCGACGCCCAGGAATTCTGCGACAGCTGGACTCTGGCAGCGCTTCACTCGGGCTCCTTCGAAGCATGTGACTTCCATGGGCCAAGTGCAGATGACTACATCGCTTGGCCGCCAGAGCTGCATTTGTTCAAGGGATGTTCTGCATTTGGCGGTCCTGAGGTTTTTGTCTCAGACAATTTGATACGATTTGCCGGCCTTAGCTCCCCAAGACGTACGCTGCATGGATCCACCCCTGAGAATAGTTGAGTACCAACTTTGGCAGTACAGCCAAATGCCTTTTCTATGTTTTTCTTGTTTTTTTTGCGATGCCTGCTGAAGTGAAACTTAGCCCATTGTAGGTTCCCCAGAACGTAAAGGAAGAAGTGTTTGGGGTCGAGGATATATATATATATATATTTATCAATGGTTCTCAACGCCCCACCTGAAATTGTGCACGTATGTTGTGCTATTGCTTTTATTAGACGGAACACTGAATACTCGCCATACATTTGTTTAAACATATCACTGGCATCCCACTGAGCCATGATGGCTCACTATGAAAGTCACAAGCTTATGCAGAAAACATGTCTTCCATACGTCTTCATGTCCCAGACACGAAGAGCGACCCCCGGCCCCCCCCACCCCTGGCCTGATCGGCCAATGGAGATTCGTTGAGCGAAAACGGTAAAACCTTGTTACTGTACTATCTTCTTGTTACTACTATATTAATAGTAATGCCAGGAGCTACTAGTAGCTTCTTGCTCCTAGTAGCGATGCCCTTGTTACTAGTAGCTTCTTGTTACTAGTAGCGATGGCCTCCAACAGACTAGCGTTGGCCTCCACCTAATAGCGGAGACCGTGGGTCGTGTTTGGGTGTCTCTTGGCGGACACCGTTTCCGAGCGACTCCCGAGTCACTTAGTCGATCAAACGACTCGTCCAGGTTGATCTCTGTGGACAGGGCCTTTCAGTATGTGCCCAAGAACAAGGAACGCGTAGGCACCGTGAAAAAAGCCCGAAGTGGAATGGCTAGAATGGGCTAGAATGACTACGTGGGATTCGTCAGACATGGGTTTTGGCGCCCTGAAGGCCAAACTGCTTGACCCAAGTTCTATGAAAGCCGGATTCGCCCAAGAACTCTTTCTTGCTGTAAATTTGGACCACATGAATTCCTGACACGAGTTTTGAGCCTCTCCAAGTTTGCGGTTCCACGTTGGTCGCGGTCTCCGAACCTTTTCGGACAGGATGGAGGCCATGGACGATCTTGGCGAGCCCTCATCCACCAGATCTCCGCAACTGTTGCTTGGCAGACCGCTGAAGAGAAGCTCGGAAGTGCGAGCTGAGAGGATTGCTGAATTCCGTCCCGTTCCCATGTGAAGTATAGGCAAATCATAGAGTTGCCGGTAACAACGTGCAATGGATTGGAGTTCTGACCCATCCAAAGTCATTGTTTTCGATCATTTCAGTTGGGCGGGATGCATAGTCAAGTATCTCCAATCAAATCCATTACCATCCTATCCTTTTTTTTGCCCAGACTTTATCAAATAGCCACTCCAGGTAGCGTGTACAACGAGAGTGATAGCCTGGCAAGGCAGCAAAGCATCAAGGAGCGTGAGCATGCACATCCAAGACAATCCACTCCAAATTCCATGACCACAGGTCTTTAGTCCCTGAAATGAACCCAAGATTCCACAAGCTTCCTGCTTTGAGCCCTCTTTGACTTCAGAAGTGCTCTGCAGGAGTGCAGTCTTTACATCCAAGACCGCGATGCGTGCAATGCCAATCCGATGTGCACCTTTCGGGCTATGTTCGAAGCAGGCGAGCAGGGCCCCGCTCAGACGCCCACCGCATAGCTGACACGTTGGTTTGCGTCCAATGATCGATTGCCGAAGTCGGCCAGGCCATTCCGGGGTTTTCCAAGACTGGAACCGGGTTCCAAACCAGGTCATTCCAGAATCACCAATAACCGCGTTCCATTCAAAGCCTCAAAACCCGGGATCCAGGAACAACGCCCCAAACCACGCACGTCGCCCGGGTATGACGGGGGTTCCAATCGATCGAATCGAAGGACACACCGTGAGAATCATCGGTCAAACGGGCCGGTGTCACGGTGCTCCAGGGGGTATTCATGTATAGACTATTAATCAACCACCCAATATGAAGAGGTGTTTACATGTTTTTAACATGCGAATGGGGGGGGATTATGAATCACGAGTCTACATTTTATAGGTATCTCATCAGGACTCAGCTTTGACTTGAACTCATCAAATCAGCAACTCTTTCCGTTTTTTTCCTTTCCTTGTCCAGAACCACTGGTCGGGTGACGGTGATGTCCTGGGGGTTCCAGAACTGCGGTGCTCAGGCAAATGCATGAGCACCTCAGAGCTTCTTGACACGCGGCCGGGTGTGGCTCCATGGGTGGAGTGCAAAAACACACGGAGGGCTACTAACCAGTAGCGCTTTTGCAAAACTTGACCTCGGAGAGCTTCCGGTTTTTGTGTGTCTTGGTGACTTCTAGAAGACCACTGACCACGGAGTTTGGCGACTTGGGTCCACTTGGCCTTTTCGCTGTGATCGACGGCACAAGCATGCACAAGCGACTTGTGAAGGAATCGATTGAAGAAGAGGGTGGCCACCCATGACCCATGGGCCCAGGTTCCAGATGCTGCCAGCAATGATGAGCAGTCGCACCTGGACCTGGTGGGGTTTCTTTCGATGTCCTTTTGTTATCCAATTCGCGTCAACCTGGGCTGTATGCAAGGATAAAGATTGTGAACTGGTCCACTTGGGTCGACAGGCTGTTCTTCATGCTTCCTCCTTTTTATATACATCTTCCTGTTGATCTACAAAAACTGCGCAAGCGCTGAACGTTCAACACCGATGGAACGAGGTGCTTAGCTTTGGTGCGTTCCGTCCTTTTCCGGTTCGCCAGGTCCTCCACCAGGCGGGGCGGGCCACTCGGGAGGAGTCGGAGCTTGGAAAGCGGCAAAGCGGTGGAAAGCGGCAACTTCAACGGGTGTTATAGGGTGGAGTTGCACCCTCTATGGCAAAGGGTGTTTATAGGGTTGATTGGGCAAAGTCTCTTTTGGCAACTTCAAGCGGTTGTGAAATTGCACCAAAGACTTTGTAGTTTGTAGTCCACCAACTGTCGCCAAGCCCGGGGGTATGCCTCTGGATGGCTTCTCTGTTGTAGCCGAAGATTTTTGCCTCCGATTTTGTTATGGTGGGCTTCAAACGATGTCTGCGGCTCCAGTCTACTTTCCGCCTCGCAGAGATCCCTGAGGACCACGTCGAGCAGCTTCACAAGATCAAGTACAACATGGACAGCGAGCACATCCATCACCTCAACCAGGTTCACCAGCACAAGATCACTCACCACCTCAACAGGCAATTGGTCCACCACGAGGACTGCTTGTTCATTTGGAACTTTCGGCTGGCTGAAATCCCAGTATTTCTAGAATTGTATGGCCATCCATCCATCCATCCATCCATCCATCCATCCAT